AAAAAAAAAAAAAAAAAAAAATTAATGGCGCCTGTCTAAATGTGTACAAGAGGTGATTTAGACAAGCATGCTGAATACAAGTCATTTAAAATCAAAAATAACACCTAACAATTCCGCAGCTACATAACCAGGATGTGTTTTGAGTCGGACAGGAGCAGGACGGAAAAGGCCGGGAGTGACGGGAAACAAAGGTACAGGAAACGGGAGAGCAAGGCTAGGGTTGGCTAGGGTTGGTTAGGGTAAGGGAAGCAGGAGGCTTATCCCGCTGCTCCCCTCCCCCACCCCCACCTTTCCCAGTAATGATCATATTATCTGCTTGAAAAATTAAGACTCCTTCTCCTTCAAAACACGACAACCACGCCTTTGTCAACGTAGCCTGCGTAGCAGGCGCATAAAGGGAAGGGGTGGGGGAGGAGGAAAAGAATTCGGGGAACAGAACGTTCCCTTTCCCCTCCCCCCTCGCACTTCTCCGTTTTTTTTTCTCGAATTCTCTTCCTCCTCCCCCACCCCGTCCCCTTTGTACGCCTGCTACGCAGAACGAGATCGAGAGGACACAAATACTCCCTTGTGGACCCCACACTGTGTACTTTTGTCGACAACGATGTTTCAAGATGGCGCCGATAACGCAAGCGCAGTATTAGTTGGAACGGCAAATTCGAAGACATTTTGAAATAATTTCCACACTAGAACTTTTCCTATCTGCTTATACTTGACTTTTGAAGGGGGCGGAGTTAAAGGCAGGTTATTTTAGATTTTTTCGTGGGCCTTCGTACTTTTCGCAGTATTCCTTCCGCGCCTTGCCACAGAGAAGATGCGCAATTAATTCGGCCAAAGTAATGATGAAAAGACGTAGCACGGTTCTCAATATCTAGGTGATAGAGCGACTTCTCCGGGATGTCCCTAGGATAGTTGGTACATACAATCCGGGAGAGTTGGCAGGTAAGCTGATATAATTATGCAACCGGCCCTTGCGCTATGTACAAGTCGACGCCGAGACTCTTGGGCTTACCGTACAGCCCCCGACCAGAAAACGTAAACACTGTCTACAGTGTGGGGCCCAGTTCTCGGCCGGCCCCAGTTCTCGGCCACTTTTTGTTCAGCGTTTATTTTTCGCGTCACAAATGAATCTGAATAGAAAGCAATTGTTTCCAAAGGTAGCTTGATTCCTTGTCTTCCGTTCTGCCGAGTTTTGT